TAGTTAATAAGCTTGATCTAATATACATACACAGAACACTGAAAGCACATTTTTTAAAATATACATGGAACATTTATAAAAATGGATTATATAATAGGCCATAGAGCAAATGTCAGTAAAATTCAAAGAATATCATACAGCCCACGTTCTTTAATAGTTAAATTAAAAATCAATAATAAAAAAATACTAAGGAAACCCCCTACTTTTGAAAATTAAAAAACACATTCTAACTCATGAGTCAAAGAAAAAATCAAACTAGAAATTAACAAATATTTAGAACTGAATGATCATGAAAATACTAATCAGAACTGGTGGGATACAGCTAAAACAGTATTAGGGGAAATATTGTAGCCTCACTGCCTGTGCTAGAGACAAAGCAACTCTGCAAAGTACTAAACTGAGCATTCAACTCAAGAAGGTAGAAAAAGAAAAGCAAGTAAACCCAAAAATAGAATGGGGGGAAATAATAAACATAAGAGCAGTGGCTGGCCAGTTAGCTCAGTTGGTTAGAACATGGTGTTGGAACACCAAGGTCAAGGGTTTTGGATACACATACCAGCCAGCCACAAAAATAAATAAAATAAAACATAACAGTAGAAATCAATGAAAGAAAAACTACTATATAATAGAAAGTATCCAAAAAACCCAAAGTTGTCATCTTTTTTTTTTCTTCAAAAGATTAATAAAACTAACAAACTACTGCCAAGATTGATGAACAAAGAAGAAGACACAGATAATCAAAATCAGGAATGAAAAAGAGGGCATCATTCTAGAGGCTTCAGACATCAACAAAGATAAAAACAGTGCACTATTGACAACTTTATCTTGATTATTTTGAAAATTTTGGCAAAACTCACAAATTTCTAGTAAAATGTAATTTCCAAAGTTAATTCAAGAATAAATACAAAATTTGAATAGCCCAATAACCATGAAAGAAATTGAATCATTAGTGAAAATTGTTACTATAAAGAAGTATCAGACTTAGATGGTTTTGTAAAAATTTCTACAAAATAACCAGGAAATAAATAACTCCAATCTTATACAAACTATTCCAGAATTTAGAAAAAGAAGGAACACCATTTTATAAATCAGATATACCCTTGATGCCAAAACTAAATAGCCACAAACAGAATTTAAAGGTATAATTTACAATAGCAACAAAAAGTATAAGCCATCAAGGAAAGAAAACTAATAAATTGTATGCAAAACTGTATTATGAAACTTTAAAGACATTACAGAAGACTTAAATAGAAACACATATCAACACATCATTTTCATGGATAAGAACACAGTATCCTAATAAAGTGAGGTTCTCCCCAAATTGATGTACAGATTAATACAATTTCAATCAAAATCCCCAAATAATTTTTGTAGAATGTTTAAATGACTCTGCAATTTATCTGGAAAAACAAGCTGTTGAGAATAGTGAGAACACACTGAAGGAGAAGGAAGAGAAGGTGAGAAAACTTGCCCTGCCAGATATCAAGGATTAAATAACAATGACAGGGCTGGCCACTTAGCTCAGTTGGTTAGAGCCTGATGCTGATAAACATCAAGGTCCAGGGTTTGATCCCTGTCCCAGCCAGCCACCAAAAAAAAAAGCAGTGATAGCAATTAAGATAGTGAGGTATTGTTACAGAAATGTACCTATAGACTACTGGAACAGAATAGAAAGCCCTAAAACAACAAACTTTCACATATAAGAAACTTGATATATGGCAACACTGATACTCCAGATCAGTGGGGAAAGAGAATGTGCTAGTCAATAAATGTTTCTGGACAACTGAAAAATAAAAATAGAAGCTTACTACATACCTTACACAAAAATCAATTCTAATTCTAGATTGATGGAGAATTTAAAAATGAAAAGCAGAATTTTAAAAATTTTGGAATAAAACATCAGAGAATATATGATATTAGGGTAGGGAATAATTAAACAAGACTTAAAAGTACAAATCATGAAGGAAAAGATTCATAAAATTCAAGTACATTAAGGGGCCGGCCCGGTGGCGCACTCAGTAGAGTGTGGCGCTTTAGAGCGCAGCCGCACTCCCACCGAGGGTTCGGATCCCATATAGAGACCGGTCCGCTCCGCTCACTGGTTGAGCGTGGTGTGGGCATGACACCGAGGGTTGCGATCCCATTGCCGGTCGCGGTACGGGCGCGACACTGAGGGTTGCAATCCCGTTACCGGTCACAAAAAAAAAAGACAAAAAGGAAAAAAAAAAAAAAGCAAGAACACTTATTCATCAACTAAAAACTTATTCATCACACTAAACAGGGTAAAAAGATGCGCCACAAACTGGGAAATTATATATACAAACTTCCTACCAACAGAAGATTAGTGTCTAAAAAATGTTAAGAACTCCTACAAATCAGTAAGAAAAAGACAAACAAAACAGTCAAAAAATGGGCAAAAGGCATGAACAGGCATTTCACAAAAGAGAAAACATAAATGACTGAAAAAAAGATGGAAAACATGCTCAATCTTATTAATAATTTTAAAAATGATGAGATAACATTTCACACTCACCAAATTAGCAGAAATTAATTTGACAATACCAAATGCTGAACAGTGTGTAAAGCAAGAGAAAGACATATATTAATTGTGGAAGTATAAGTTAAAAAGGAGAACATTTTGGAATTGCATAGTAAGATTAAACACATATGAAGGGACTTCAAAAAGTTCATTAAAAAATTCATATTATCTTTCAATTCTATTTTTCAACAAACTTTTTTTTTCCCCTTTTTTTGTCTTTTTTCGTGTCCGGCAACGGACCGCAACCCTCAGTGTTGCCCCCGTACCGGACCGGGACCGGCAACGGGATCGCAACCCTCGGTGCTGCGCCCGCCCCTCGCTCAGCCAGTGAGTGGGAACTGGTCTGTATGTGGGATCCGAACCCTCGGCGGGAGTGCCACCGCGCTTCCCAAGCGGTGCACTGTAGCAGTGCACCACCGGGCCGGCCCTCAACAAACTTTTTGAAGTACCCTCGTACATGCTCTACAGCCCAGCAATTCCACTTCTACATTTAGAACCTAGAGAATGTTGATAGCAGCATATAATAACAGAAAACTGGAAACAACCTAAATGCCTATTGACAGGAAAAGCGATAAACACAATGAGATCATTTACAGTGATAAAAAATGAAAATACTACAGCTGTACACAAAAATAGATAAATCTTATGAATGTTTGGGTGGACAAAGCAAGTTGCAGAAATATATCTGGAGGATTTGGTTCAGAAGCAGGCACTTTAAAACTGTATATGTGTCTATCTACTGACAGATAGATGATAGACAGACAGATATACACACACACACACACACACACACACACACACACACACACATATATATATATATATATATATATATAGGAACTTTGAAAAAGTTCGTGAAAAAACTGAATTGAAAGATAATACAAATCCTTCTATGAACTTTTTGAAGATCCCTCATAATTTTTTGCCATCTGCTTTCTTTTGAATTGTAAATTCTGCCTTTACCTCATGCCTTTGCTGCCATAAGTCAGCACAGGCTGTTGCAAGTAACCATGCAGCTTCCTTAATGCTTTGCTGCTTAGAAGTTTCTTCTGCCAAATACCCTTGCTCAGCACCCGTAAGTTCCACATTCCAAAAAACTTTTGAGCATGAACCGACTGCAGCTAAGTTCCTTGCCAGTTCATAGCAAGGGTGATCTTTGCACCCCCTTTCCAAAAACTGCATTTTATTTCTATCTGTGACCTCCTTAGAATGGTCTTTTCAGTCCATATTTCCATAAGCATTCTGTTCACCACCATTAAACCAATCTCTAAAACTTTCCCTGGTTTTGTCTTCCAAACTTTCCCCACCATCTAGGCTTTTTCTAGCATGTTCTTCCAAATTCCTGCAGCCTGTCCTCAACACCCAGTTCCAAAGCTGTTTCCACATTTTCAAGTATTTGTTATAAGCAACCCCAATTCTACACACACACACACACACACACACACACACACACACACACACACACACACACAGTTATATATATGTATAGTTATATACATATATATGGTAAACTATATGTGGTAAAACTATAAAGAAAAGCAAGGAGTGGCTAATAAGCAAGACACAATAGTGGGTACCTCTGGAAGGAGGGAAGGATCTACAATTGGGGGCAGGGAGTCATAAAATGAGTTTCAAAAGTACTTGCAATATCTTTCATGCATTGAGTTATGGACAAATGTATACTTTTTATATTGTCACCCTTTTAATAAACATTTATGTTCTCTATAATCTTATGTATGTATAGTGTATTTTACAATAAAACAACCAACCAATTAATTAAGCTAGCTAGAGGCTAGAGAAGTGCAGCTAGAATCCCCAAGATGGGCCTACTAGGTTTTCAGGAATGAATAAGAGACAGTGAAGTTCCTTTGAGAATCTTATTAGCTTTTCACTTGTTTCACTCTTGACTGAGAAGAGAGGTTTAAAGTGGGGCAGAGACTCCTGCTGGTGCCTTGGAGGTTGCTGGGGATTTTATGACTGCAGGAAGTAAATGAATGATTTGAGAAGGAAAACTTGAAAAAGGACTATTGACTTTCCTATGTATGCAGTAAGGTAAATAATTTGCACTCTTTCACATACAAAGAAGATACTGTCTTTTTATAAATATGAGGACATTTGTATCAGTTACTTATCCAGAAGTCGTCAGCATGGAGCTTGTTCAGTGTGTGAGCAATATTTTCTAAATGCAGGCCCCTTTGATTTCCACTCTGCCATTTCTAGCATGTGGGCTTTAGAGAAAAATAAAGGCTTTCCTAGAACTATCTCACAGCCTGCCGCTCATATCCTAATAGTCAAAATGTTGTCACATGGCCATTTCTTGCTGCAAGAGATCATGGGAAAGTAACTAATTTTCCACTGCAGCCTATATAGTAGGAGCAGGCAAAAGGGAAAGGGGAGAGGTAGTTATTCAGCAGTGTCTGTCACAGTACTCCTCTAAGAATTTTTCCTCTTTTCCCCTTAGGAGCCAGCCTACGTGATGACTTATACAAATATTTCTCCTTCCATCATTCCCATGGAGACACCATGACTGTCATGGATCCAAAACAGATGAATGTTGCTGCTGCTGTTTGGGCTGTTGTCGCTTACGTCATTGCAGACATTGAAGAAATGCTGCCCAGGTCCTAGCAAGAGCAAGAAAGCACTCTCATCCTTTCTAGCCAGGAATCCTGGGTCTGCAGCTTCAAACACCCTTCTTCACATAACAATTTCATGGGTTCATTTTCAAAGCACAACCCTTTTTTATACTTTCTGTTGTCATCTTACTTGGTATTTTCCAAATTCTCTTTTTCTAGAATAAGGAATGATACCCACCACCACATATAATCAAGATATGGTAGGGATCATAGTGGGGGTATTTCTTTATCCCAACTTTTAGAAATATTGTTTCTACTTTGAAAATAAACACTGAGTAAATCTTTGGAAGGTCAGTGGTTTTTATGTGCTCATTTATGAACATTAAGTCAAATACAAAAACATCAATTATTGTGGTAATTTTATTGAAGGTGTGCAGGAATTACACAATTGTAGTATAATCTTAATTGAAGGGATAAGGGCATTTGGCTTTCCAATTTGTACATTTTTATATTATGTGAATTTTGAAATGATACATGGAATTTTTTAATTAACAGGGAAAAAAAGATGTCCCCATTTAGGAAACATATCAAGTATACACAATCCAATTGCTTTATTAAAGATAAGTACTAGGATCTATCACTAGATAAATAATGTCATTTTACATTTATGTTTTATATATTTCATACATTTCCAAATGAAGTTGGAGCTTATTCGCAATTTGCTGATAACAAGATTGAAGCTCAGAGAGGCTAAATAATCACAAGGCAAAAACACTGATCCCCACTCACTCTGGGGACAGTCTTTACTATTCTTCCTCATACAATGTCCAGTACTCAATAAAAAAATTACAAGACAAACTAAAAAAAGCAAGAAAAAATAAACTCGTTAATAAAGTAATTAAGCCAACCAGACTAAGAATAGCCTAGAAGGTGGAACTATCAGAGAGGCAGTTTAACATAGCTGTGATTAATATGTTAAAGATATAATAGGAAAAGTGGACTATACATATGAACAGAAGGAGAATTTGAGCAGAGAGAAAACAGTCAAATGTAAAAGTTAAAATAAAAAAATACAGTGTCGTAGATTAAAAATTTCTTTGTTGGGCTCATCAACAGACTGGACAAGGCTGAATAAAGAATCAATGAACTTGAATATAGGTCAATAAAAGTTATCCAAACTGAAGAACTAAGAGAAGAAAGAGTGAAGAAAAAAAATGCCAGAATGGATCATCCAAAAATTGTTAGACAATATCAAATGGTCTAATATATATGAAATTGGACTCACAGAAGGAGAAGACAAAGTATCAGTTTTATTAATGGTAATAATTAAAAACACTGAAGGACAGAGGAGAGTCTTTCATTTCCGGCAAAGTAGCAGACCAGTACTCCAGCCTTTACACTGAAAACAGCTAGAAATACTAGATAACATCTGAGAAACATCTTCTTAAGTATGACTAAACTGTTAAAAAGTAAAAAATTTCAGATGAAAGACTTCCTAAAGGCATGTACCAAGAGAGATACACAAAACATTAAACCAGCTTTCTCTTTGGGGAAATTTGAAGAATGTGGCAAACTTAAATCCCATTTTCACAGCCTTTCAGGGCTCAGGGAGCTGTAGACAAATCCCAGATCTTGCCATATTAAGGATGCTAGAGAACCCCAACAAGAATGAGGCTCTAAATATTATACCTCAATATGATGGTGAACTAAAAATAACTCTTAAGAACTGCAAGCAAAGTTACCATGACAGAATACATGCTAAGTAGAGATCCAAAGAAATTCCCACAAATAAAGTTACAAAAAATATAAATCCACAGTCAAAAAGAAAAAAACAGGAACCATAACATTCTGAGCAAGAGCAAACCAAAAAAGACAACAACAGAATTAATTCATAATGTCCTCTGATATTGGAATTTTTAGGTTGAGAATTTTAAAAACTATGTCAATTTTGTTTAAGTAAAAAAAAGAAGGGATTGAAAATAGAACAGAGAGAAAGGGACTATAAAAAATGATCAAGAATATTATAAAAAGAACCAAATAGAACTTCTAGAAATATGAACTATAATAAGTGAAATTTAACAATTAGGGGACCAATTTTACCAATTTAGTATGAGAATTTATAAAGATAATAAGAAATCACTGAGAATTTAGCATAAAAAGCCAAAAATATGAAAATTATGAATGAGAGTTAAGAAGTACAGGGAAATGCAAATCAAAACCACATTGAGATAACATCTCACCCCAGTTAAATTGGCTATTATTAAAAAGACAAAGAATAACAAATGCTGGGAAGGATGTGGAGAAAGGAGAACTCTTCTACACTGTTGGTGGGACTGTAAAATAGTACAGCCACTGTAAAAAACAGTATGGAAGTTTCTCAGAAAACTACAAATAGAACTACCATATGATCCAGCAATCCCACTTCTGGGTATATACCCAAAGGAATGGAAATCATCATGTCAAAGGGATACCTGCACTCCCAAGTTCATCTCAGCTCTATTTACAATAGTCAAGAGTTGGAACCAACATAAATGTCTACTGACAGACAACTGGATAAGGAAAATGTGGTATATATACACAATGGAATACTACTCAGCCCTAAAAAAGAAAGAAATTCTGCCATTTGCAACAATGTGGATGAACCTGGAGAAAATTATGTTAAGTGAAATAAGCCAGACACAGAAAGAGAAATACCACATGTCCTCACTTGTAAGTGGGTGCTAAGGAAGGAAGGAAAGAAGGATGGATCACAATAACACACTTCACCTTTTCAGAAGGAGAGAACAAATCTGTGGTTACTAGAGGTGGGAGTGGGGAAAAAGAGGAGAGTTGGGGAGAGATTGAGTAAGGGACATAAAGAATAATTATGATTTTTAATAATGAATATGCTAATAATATTGATTTAATCATCACATGTTATACACAGGTGATGGTAGTCAATGCTGTAGCCCCAAAATATGTATCATCAATTATTCTTCAATAAAAAGATACATTTAAAAAAAGAAATATGAAGGATAGAGTTTTGTCTAACATATGTTTAATCAGAGTTCCAGAAAAAAAGAAAATGGTACAAAGAACTGCCTTAAGATATAATAAATGAAAATTTTTCAGAAATAATGAACTATACCAATCCACAGGATGAAGAAACCCAATGAATCCCAAACAATAAATGAAAAGATGTAGAGAAACTACAAAAGACAAAGAGAAGATGTTGAATTAAGCAAGAAGAGATAATCTTAAAAGGAGCAACAATTAGTTTTGTAGCTAGCTTCTTAACAGCAACAGTGCAAGCCAGAAGACAGTGAGATATCTTCAACATGCTGAGAGACAACCTAATAATTAACCTAAAATTTCTGTGCTCAGTGAAAATATCTTTCAAAAACAAGTACAAAATAAGGATATTTTCAGATAAAAACTGAGTCAACTACCAATAGACCTTCACTAAAAGAAATTTGAAAAGGTGTACTCCAAGCAAAATTAAATAATCCTAGAGTGAATACTAATATACAAGAAGCGAGGAGACTAGTTCCAGGCCAAAGTCTAGGTGTGATCTTTTGATCCTGACTATAAGCAATTACAAAGGCTTTGCCTGGCAGGCCTCATGGAAGAAAGTTGCCCTCCCAGCAGACGTAGTGTAGACAGTTCATTGTAGTTTTCCCGAGGAAGTTGCAGTCAAGGACTCAGGTCCCCGAGGCCAGCCATGCTCATTTGCATATCTGCATTTCTCACCCAGACACCTGCCATTGGATGTCTCTTTATCTTATGACTATGACAATTTGGTCCACTCTTACTCAGCACTTTTCCACTTACTTCTAGCCCTTCCCCTGCCCCCACCCCTCAGTTCTCCATTCATAAAATGTCAGAAGTCTATCTTTTAGGGATCTTTGGCAATGAGATGATTCCTCCTATCTGCTCTAGATTCACCTGACCCTTGCCTGGTGCCATTCTCTGGGAAAAGTGGAACATTAGCAGGCTGGTGCCTATTTTTGCCTCTTGCTTACACTATCTCAGTAAGTGATTAGGCTTGATTGTTACCCTCAGTTTAGCTTGTTGTCCTAAACCACCACCTTAACCTGGCAGCTGGATAGAAATTAAGAGCAAAGAAAGTGGTAATCGTTTTAAACAAACATAGAATAAACAAAACAATAATTTGAAAAGAAAACAAGGATGGAAAGAAGACATGTGACTAGAACAGCATATGAATAAGAAAGATAGTTACTGTAATGAGCATTCTAAGGTCCTTGTATTGCTCTAGAAGAGAATAAAGACATTGTGTAACTTTAGCCTTTGCTAAGTTAAAATATGAAAGTTAAATTTTCTGAGTACCCACAAAAAGTAGAGGTACAGTGTTTAAAAATAAAACAAATGCCACCACCACCAGCCTCATGGAATGAGAAAAAAGGCTCAACAAATTTGATATCATATTCTGTGACCACAATGCCACTAATCAACTAAAAAAAATCTCATGAGTTTGAAAAATAAGAAATGACTTAATGAAATGAATAAATAACTACTAAGTAACCCATGAGTCAAGGAAGGAATTACAATTGAAATTAAAACATTTACAACTGAATAATAGTACACACACAAACATCTCCATATCAAAATTTGCTGAATGCAGGCATGCAGTTTCTTAGAGGCAAATTTACAGTTCTAAATGCTAAAAATATAAAGCCAATAAAGAATTAATAAGCTAATTCAATTTAAGAAGAAAAAGGAATAGCAGAATAAACTTAAAGAAAGAATTAGAAAATAAATAAAAAATATGAGTAGAAATCAGTGAAGCCGGCAACAAACATTCAATAGAAAGGTTCAACAAAGTCAAAAGTTGGTTCTTTGAAAATACTAAAAATTACTATGAAAAGCTTCATTCCAATAATTTGAATAACTTGAATAAATGGACCAATTTCTAGAAAAATGTAAATCACCTAAATTAGCTAATGACTAAACTGAATAGTTTAATATCTCTAGAAACATCAAATAAATCAAATCATTAGTTTAAAATGTACCTTCCCTCCCCCAAATTCTTTAGGCCAGACAAACTAGTTCCACCAAACTGTGAATAAACAATTTCAATTTTGCAAAATTATTTCGGAGTATAAAAGAGGGACTCATTCTAAACTCATTTTATGAGACTAGTATAATCATAGT